ATTTCATTTGATTTAATTTAGGTGAACTTATCTAATAATTCACGCAGAGATGCAATAAAAGACAGGAGTTGTCACTACAGTAGCTAGTAGGTGGGTTCGAAACCCGAGCCCGCAGAAGTTTTCAGGCAATGTCTTCCTCTCTATCTCTCAATGTAGCACCCTCTCTGGAATGAAGGCACTCTGGCCCAAAAACAATCTTAAAAAAAACAAACAAGTAAGATTACTTTTTAACATTATTCTCAATTGAATAACCCTGAACTACACTAATCAAGCAATCAATCAAACTTGTTAGAAGACACCATATACACATTTAGGGTAGCAGTTTGTTTTTAAGTGTTTTTGCATGGCAGTGTTTTCTCTGTACTATGCACAGCAACATGCTCAAAGGTGCCTGTTGTTGCACTAAGGTGGCTTTACCGACTGCCGATTCAATCTGAACGTTGTCATGGCAGTGAGGAGATTACAGTGTTTGGAAAAAGAAAATGATTCACCAATGGCTATTGCCTTTACAGAGGTGTGTTTCTTTCCTACCGCCATGATGGTTAAGAATGATTTCCGCCAGGAACGTTCATCTTTTTTAAAGTATTTTCAAGGATAGAATATGATTTTGTCTTATTTCAAGAATAATTAAAGTACTATACACAATACAAAATATAAGATAATTGTATTGTGACATTTTAATACTGGCAAATGCTAAGAAATGTAAACCCTTGGGGACCTTAAGGTTTTGTAGCTTCAATGTGAATCTGGTAGCAGAACATGAGATAACATGCAGGCCGTATGTACCTTCAGCTGGTTGAGTTTGAGTAGGTCAGAGTCCACGACCGCCGTTGTGCCAATGGCGGTGAGGAGGCGGCGCTGCTCTGAGCGTCTCTCTGACAGCACCCGGTTTGCTCCCTGGTAGAAAAACAGACAGTAAATAACATTAGAATTGCACCACTGGCACAATCACACTTCACCTGGCCTTGACCTAGAGGAGAATGACCCAGACTTTTAACTTTGACCCTCATTTGTTCATGTGGGTAAGGTTCATTTGGAATCTGTTACTGTGCAGGCAGATAAAACCAATTAAATGCTAAGAGGAAGCATGATGGAGGACTCAAGTTTCTCTCAATCGAACACATACTAGATGTGAATTCTGAAGGCTTTGAAACAATTATTACAAGTTGTTTTGAATGGATCTTTCATTATTTAACTCTCAGAATGAGGTTCTCAAGCATATTTTTTTCAAACAAAGGAGCTCTGTCTATTTTTGTAGCTGTTGAAAACATTTTGTATACAGTCCTAACTCACTGAGCTTTGAAAATATTTCCAAAGTGAACTCCACAGTCAGATCACAAGGAAAAATAAAAGCGAAAACTCTGTGTACCTGAGTCAGGTGCTAATTTATTCATGACATCAAAGGGTGCTGACTGATGTGGTGTCTAATTTCATCTCACTTTGTTGCGGGTGATGCTGACGGAGGTTAAATCATCAAAATGCAACAACAAATCTCCATGGTGGCAGTGAGACACGGCACAAAGCCAGAATGGAAAACAAAGGTTGCATAGGAACACAAAACAACCATTCGCTGAGTTTCCCCTGGAAATGCCAAATGTCAGCATCTGTGCTGATGTGTGCACAAAACTCAATCCAATTACACATTTGGCGAGCAGAGACTTAAATGTGTTGCCTACTGATGCCTTTCAGGATGTGAGGGCTCTATATTGTTTTGGTTGATTGTTTCAAAGTGGGATTTTTGTAAATTAAATCCTTCAGCAGGGACTTGTGTTACATTTTAGGAGGTTTGTGGACATACCATGGCTATCACAGATTCCGTCTAATTATTCCAAATGGAAGTGTTTTTGGATGAAAGTTAAAGTTTAACTAGTTTTAACAATGTTTAAACCCATGATTTATTTTATGAGCACGAGCCCTCCAGGACAAAAAGGCACACGGTGTTTAAATTGTTTTAAGGGCACATTTGGGACATCTGTTAGCCATCTGTATCGCAGAATGCTACTCTGAGTGTTAGAAATCAATTATCTTTTTCAATACAAACAAAGATTAGAACTACTAAGGAACTGTGAATGTATCTTTTAAACGTTGCTATTCAACCATAAGAGTTACAGTTTTGTTTTATAGTCCTAAAATTCCAAATAGCCGAGCAGCTATTTGGAAAATCTGTATCACTGTTCCACAGATCTCAACATTTAAAATCTCTACTGGAAACTCTCTTATTATTCCAACTCGCAGCCAAACGGCTGAGGGCTGATTCCACTTACCTACCTCCCTGCCAATTCAATTCCTAAGGGGTATCAATAAGCATCATCAAGCGTCATCTAAATGATCAAATAAATATTTAAGGTAATATTAACCATCTATAATAACTATATCAAGTACTGTACCCCCTAGTGTTTATTTACAGAGCCAGCACAGCAACAGCAGGGTGCACTGGAACCACATTTGGATTCAAGCAAACTTTGTATACATTTTTTAACACAAACATTTGTATGCTTGATTTCATACTCATTTGTAATGAAATGGACCTACCAAACTTTAGTCCAGAGCAGTCCTTTAAATTCTCTCCTTTATAGTGAAGATTGTTCATGCATTGCTTTAAAAATGTTGTTTACTGTATCTTCATTATTTTAAAAGCTGGTTTAAGAATTGTAATCAATAATAAAGTAGGAACAACTGCAAAAGCACAGAGGGAAGTTGAATAAAATCTGATCAGCACATTTCTGATTTCAAATGTTTCCTCTCCTCTGTTATTCATTTAAGAACAGGATAGTAGTGCCTTATTTGTTAAACGGGGAGAAGAACGTTTAGCCAGTATCCCTTGTGGTTTTAACACTCTTCGAAGAAAAAACATTGTAATACAAACGTTTTTTACCATCCAAAACGTTTGCCTTTAAACCTGTTTTAGCAGTGATTTGGGCATAAACCCAGGAGATTTG